TTCAAAGGATGCAGGATTACTGCTTAGAAGGAATTTATAGTTTAGCATTTGCCTGAACCTCCCATATTCTTTTTTTAAAGAAAGATTTTATTTATTTATTTTTAGAGAGAAGGGAAGGTAGAGAGAAGAGAAGGAGAGAAAAATCAATGTGTGATTGCCTCTCGTGCACCGCCCACCAGGGACCTGGCGCACAACCCAGGCATGTGCCCTGAGAATCAAACCAGCAACCCCTTGATTCGCAGGCCAGCACTCAATCCACTGAACCACACCAACTGGGGCTCCTTTTTTTTTTTTTTTTTTAACATATCATTTTCGTTTCCCTTTCTTTTTTCCCCAGAAAATCATGGTTTCTTTGTTTTAATGTCTTTTGAATATCCTTATTTCTCTGCCTTATATATGTTATCCCAACCTCATTTCCTTTGCCTGGGAATAGCCGTTTTTGGCCTAATTTCATATACTTTCTTCTCCTAAAAGGATCTTCTTGCCTTGAGAACCCTCACTCAGATTTCTTTCCTACTTTTTACCAATCAACCATTACCTTTCAATTTAGATACATTCAAGAGAAGGTATGTTATCTAACCGAAGGTAAGTAACACACAACAAATTCACTTCTCTAAAGAGCCGCAGTAAATGCCGATAACCAGGCAAAAATTGAGAGAAGCTAACCTTCTAGCAACAAACAATGTTCAGAACAAACTGAACTAACGAGCGAAACAGAGGCAGGCTCACAGAGAGCAGGCTGACAGCTCTGGACAAGGGGCTGGGGGGTGGAGGGATCGAGCGAAAAGGAGAAAGGACTCGTGGACGGACAACAGCGTGGCGACGGCGGGGGGCGGGGGGCGGGGGGCGGGGGCAGAGGGCGGCGGATGGAGGTGGAAAAGGCATAAGGGGGATAACTGGTAACTAAAATACAATAGATGATAAACTATTAAAAAACTTTTCAAAACCATTTTGGATTTAAAATTTTGCATAAACTTTTGTCATTTTAAGTAAGATCCTTTATAATGGTTTTGGTTTGTGAAAGTGTTAACTGTTGATAATTAAAAATATCGATGTCTGTACAACATTTAAAACAGATTTTTTTCCATTGAAAGCTAATGGTTGAGCGTTTTAAAGAGAAAACTTTGTAACTCCAACTGGTTAATGTTACAAACAGTAAAAAAAAAACAAGGTTTATTCGCAATGTATTAGATCTCTTCTGGAAACATCAATCTACTTCAGTTCCCTGAAATATACCATACCAGACGTCACCATGAGCCGAAAACAATGCCAGCATATGGCAGTCTGGCTGCCAGGTGACGTGTACATTTGCCGAAGGGACCGAAGAATCCCTGGCTACCCCAAACAGGCTATCGATAAGAGCAGAACAATGGAGAGGAACTGCCACAGGAAATAAAATGCTGCTGCTGGGATGCAGGAATCTCACCTCAAGTTTAGGAAGTTTAATCATTTCTGCTTCTTCTTACTCCTTTTCTTACAGGTGCTCATAAGAAAAAAACTACACATACACCACATACATCAGATTAAGACAACTTTGAGGGCAGACAACTGTATGGCACTAGATTTATAACAGGAAAAAAAGAGAAAAGGAGGTGGGAAGATTTATGTGCAGAAAGGGGATGAGGCTGCAGAAGGGGAAGTATGTCTGTACACGAAGACAGAACTAACACATGTGGTGAATGGTGAGACGTGTTGCCCATTGGAAAATGATTATGTTTTAAACTTAACAATAAACAAGGTTTCAGAAATTAATGGCTTGACATGTTCCTCTAATATTGAATTATGAACCAAGAATCTCCGGGGACCCAGAACTAAAAAGCTGAGAACACCAAGTACTGTGGGTTCATGTGAGTTGGCCTATTACAGAAAAACTGAAAATGGCTAATTTATGAAGACTTTAAAGCGACGCATTAGAAGAATGACCATTGTATAAGAGGGTAGGGAAAAGTTCTGCTTTGATAATTTGACAGTTGAAAATGAACATCCATTTCCCCTAATTCAATCTTGGTTTCCTTTAGCTGAATGTTTCCTTTCTTTACCACCCCTTTTATACACCATATTGAAGGGCTGTTTAGAGCTAACTCACTGGTCCTAAATATAAAGGGAGCTAAACAAAAAGATCTTTCTCACTGTCATAAAAAATCTCCCAGGTAGCCATGAAATGCCCCCAGCAGTGAGCTGAGCACGGCCGATGCATTTAATGGGGACAGGAGCCCGACGGAGACACAGGGCAGGGCCTGAGCTGCACAAAGGCTGCGGAGGCCGCTCCGAGGCTCAGCATCGAGGGGTTCTAAACTGGGAACCGTTGGGGTCCGTTGCTATTTTGACATCAAAACCAGTCAGAATAAAGCAGATCTGGAGAAACATTGGCTAAGGAAGCCTCAGAAACCACATGAAACAGAACCAAAGACTAGAGAATTCCTCAAGAGAAGACTATTCCTTAAGAAAGAATATATACTTCAACTGTATGGAGAGGAAGTTGACTTGGCATCTCAACTTCCCCATCAGGTAGGCTGCTCCATGGCTGCCTCAGCTGTTAGCTCAGCATGCATCCAGGAGCAGGGCCTGGGCACGCTGACCGGTGAGAGAGGTGCTCAGGTGTGCGCCTGGACAAGGCTCTCGCTTTCCTTCTTTGTGCCCCTCAATTCATGGAACACAAGTAAATGAGCATGAAAAAGGGAAACCCATAAAATAAATAAACATTAAAAAACTAAAACCAATAAAATGAAGGGGCACAGAGAAATCAATCAAGTAATTTGCCTCTCCTGCAACATGTTCTGCTCACATTCTAAAACTGTTTTTAAAAGGCAAAACAGGAAAAGTCACTACGCAACTTAGCGCAGTCATTTCACCTATTTAACAGTGTAAGCTGCTAAATAGGTCACAGGTATTAAGTCATAGCATCAATTTAGTGGTTGCTACCATTCAGTTTTTCAACATGAAGTCCAACAGAATAAAAAGGAAAATATCGGTGTGTTTTGCAAGAAGTAAAAGTATTGTTTCATGAAACTTTATTTCAAATGTATATGTGCATATATGTACTGGGTCCTGTTATAAACTGTTATTTCTTACAGTGTTTTAAAACCTAAAAGTATGAAAATCACTGAGCTACTGAAAACTGGAAGGAACCAGACCAGGGCAGTGTACTACAGACAGATTGTGTGTGGATCAAATACTTATGACTGTGAAGCAGTTCGTGGGTCAACTGAGGAGCCTCAGTCAATATACGAGAATTACTCTCAGAGTTATCCAAGAACTCTCACAGTACCCTGAGCTAATAATAAGTGTGAGCTCTAGGTCTGAAAACAGGAAAGCCACCACTGAAACTGACCTGAAAGAAGATGCTGCCTTATTTTGTTGCCCAAAAACCCAGAATTATCTTCTGGAGGGCTGCCCCTTGTAGTACGGGCTTCCCCTACTAGATGAGTGTTCTAGGAGCCCACCTGTATCGATGTACCAACTGGTGCTGTTGTGAGAGCCTGCATTTGGCTTCAGTGAAAATTTTTTTGAAGAGTCTTTCAATATGTTTGCCCATTTCATCATGGGTGGTTTACAAGTGCATCTGCCCACGCTGCGCTTAGTGTTCAGCAGTTTTTGACCAAAAAGGGCATAACCCCCATGCCCCGCCCTCCCTGTTCACCTGACCTCACCCTGAGTGACGTTTTTTGTTTCCCTGGATGAAAAAATTCCTCAAAAGAAAATGTTTTGCTGATGTGGAAGAGATGAAACAAAAAATGGCAGGAGCATTAAAAGGCATCAAAATCAACGAGATCAAAAATTATTTTGAGCCCTGGAAAAAACATCTCTATAAGTGTACTGCATCAAATGGAGAGTCCTTTGAAGGTGACTAAAGTTTGAACATATAAGAATAAATACATAATTTTTTATACATAAATTTGGGTTTCCTGCACCCTCCTCCCCTGGTATATGTAGCCCCTGTTGGCTTTTATCAAGATAAAATAAACCTGGACTCTGGAAGGAAATGACAGTTTCTACTTCAAGAATGTTATATAGATCATGGCCACAGCCCAAGGGCTCTTTCATTGACTGGGAGATCAAGTCTTTTAGAATAAGGGTAAGTGAAGAGGTTTTAAGAAAAAAGAAACGACTCTCCTAGTCTTGCCAAACTAGAGCTTTCTTCCTGGCACAGCTAACCAAGGTGATAGACGCTTTTCTCACAGTGTCTCCATTCTTTTATTCCTACCCCCTCCTGACCCTCCGGCATAGTCACATCCTTTGCTGATCCCCATTCAGTCTAATCCAATAGCCCAGTCCCAGCTACACAGCAGGAAAGAAAGCCTAGCACAAAAGATGAGCCCTTCCTAAGCGGGGACAGGAATACCCAACAGGCAACATGATCTCTTAGGATATGCCACAAGACCTGTGTTCTCTTTGGAAGTTTACTGCAAAAGAGGAGCAAATGATATTCTTCAGGTGCCGGGATCTCTAGATCTCGTAACATGGAGCCAGGCCTGTCCTCACATTCCCAAGTTCCTTAGAAAGTAAAACATGATCTGTCCCACTTAAGCTCAGCAAGTAATGGTTAAGCCCAAGAAAAAGCTCACAATTTTTTTTACTCATCTCAACTCTAACAAGAACATAAATTATGCATCATCTTATTGTTCCTTTTAGAAAGGGATGACTAGGGACAATCCTAGCAACACCTTCCTGCTAAGAAAGGAAAAAAGATTTCTAATCCTGATCGTAATTATTCTGTAAAACGTCAAGATACAAGTATCACATTCCCTTTATTTTATAAAGGAGGTAGGAGGCAAGGAGACAAGCCAATTGCTCAGGGCTGCGCAGCATGATAGCAGAGGCAGGTATGGGCACCGCTACAACCATTCGTCTGTTTTCAACTTCCTAAACAATGTTCCTTTGACTTCATCAGCTGATGCTCAGAGCCCAGGGTACATAATGCCAAATTACTTTCTGAGAAAGCTCAAACACAAGAAAAGCTGGTATACGTGTGTACAATTGTATAAATATGAGATTGGTACCTGTAGGAGAGCGTGGTGCATCGTTACCTCCAGTTCGGCTAAAACATGGGCAGCATCCTCACTGTCCTCTTGGACCTCCAGGTCCTCCTCAGGGATGGTCTCCCAGGTGCCCTGGTGAGCAACCAGAGTGTGGACTAGTTCGTATTGGCCGGGGAGTGCCAGGCTGACCCGAGTCTGAGTCCCATAGGTGAAGCGGAGGCGCCGAAGCTTACAGCTCTCCTCACTGCCCAGCTTGGTGGTAGGAAGCACCTGCACCCCCAACAGCAGGTTCAATAGCTGGCACTTGGCATTACAATCCTGGCCGAGGATCAAGATGCAGGGGAGGCAGTCCACAATCTGCTGGAGGTACTTCTCTTCCTTAGGTGGGAAGGAAATGCAGCTCAGCTGGCCTGGTTGGGGAAGGGGAGGGTGGAGAAAGGGAAAGGAGGACAGAGAGAAGAGTGAGGAAGGGCAGAGAGACTCACACAGAGACCCCATTAGGATACCAGCGTCCTAGAGATGAAATTTCTAGGAGGCTCTGGGTTGAAGGGCGTATCAGGAAAACACCTCAATCAGAAAAGGCTCCTCAAACATCAAACAGAATTCTGTTCCTTGGCTCATCACCAAAGCAGTTGTTTCTACTCAGAAAGGTGGTGGTGACCTTATCTACCCTCCCCCTTCCTTTTTTCATCCAGTGGAGGGACAGCCTAAGAAGTTCACAAGGACTCAGTCATAATCACAAAATCATTAAATTGACAAAGCCACTAACTGGGATGTGAGACCAAGGAGAAACTCTACATGAATATGTCAAAATGAAAACCCTCCTTGTGACAGAAGACCTAATACTTGAACATATTCAGCCTTTTTAAATGTCACCACCCTATGAAGTTTTGGCTTATTTTCCCCTTTTATGACATGACATATTTTATAACTAAATGTATGAGCTAATTTCTAAACACACATATACTGAAATAAAAACTTAAGTTTACATAAGCTCTAAAATCTTTTCTGGTTCACCTCTCTGAGAGCTGGCAACAGTCAACTGTTTTCTTAAGGATTTAGTGCTCAATTAAGATCAGTATCTCCTAATCAATCACACTCCTCCGGCCAACGGATGGCAAAACCCTGAGTGAGACAAAGGGGAAGAACTGCCTGTCAGGATGAAATCCAGGCAAGTTTAGAAAGAGATGTGATCTCAAAAACATTCTTTCAGGACAACCACACTTCCACAAACAAGTTAAACAGTATTCAAAAAAGAGCAAAAGACTTCCCAAAGTATGAAAGCCTCTGTCTGAGAAAAGGAACCAGAAATTAGTTGGCCGAAACTCAGATTCTGAACGCAACCATTCCCCAACTCGTTCAGCGCTGAGCCTGCCTCTGTCTGTGATTCGGGCAGCCTGTGCATTTGTTCAGAAAGGCACAAACCACGCTTCCTCGGCTGAAAGAAGGCTGATCTTACACCTTGATTGAAATTTGGGATGGTACCAACTGAATCAGTTTTTGCTTTAGTCACTTAACCAGGAGCTCTATTCAACCACCCATTAGCCATTTATTTTATTCCTATTAAATGAAGAGAGCCCAGACTCATTAAGAGGCTGCTGTACTTTAGAGAGGACCTATCCTGCCACAAATTTACTGTTTCAAATCCTCAAACCTCCTTCTCTCCCACAAAGGCCCCCACCACCAAAGGTTTACAGTCGTCTGCTCTCACTGAGATCCCTCTGTGCATTCCATGGAGCCCTTTCTTCAGGTCTGTCTCTAAGTGCATTGCCTGGCCTGCACATGCACATCAGCAACACCAGGCACTGAAACAAGGAAATCTATTCTCCTGGGGGAGAGACGGGCTCCTCTAAAAAAGCAAAGAGCACTAACTAAGTGCCTAATTTTGTGTAAGGTATTTACTAAGCATAAGAGTAAAGCAAGAGACCACTGGTCTAATTCTGACCTACAATCAAAAGCAATGGGACACAGCCAACTTCTTGTGAAACCACTTAGCAAGAAGCAACGAGCTTGTCCCGAGTCCCTTCATATCTTGTTCACGAGTAAACACTATCACAGTCTACTCTAGTTATCTGTTTATAATTATTGAAACACCCAACACAACGACTAAGACAGCAAGTACTTTATGTTACATACTCATTTGCTCCGTGTAAGAATCCATTTATCGTGGAATGCTGTCTATATAGAAAGCTGTAAATGGTTCCACTAAGGACTCAGAAAACTCCAGGACCATGATGAATCATTCAGGATCAACTACCATTTCTAAAATCCTCCTTCGTCTCAACAGGGAGAACAGATGTGGACAAGAGGACAGGACCTCCCCAAACACCTTGCAGAACGTAACTACCTCTCAGCCTGAGCAGCGTGGAGTCCAACTAGATTCACTCTCATCTACACTTGCTAGCTTTCCTCAGGTCCTCCGGTAAGTTTTAAGTTCACTCTGACAAACTTCCTAACTCCTAAAACAGAAGTTGGTACATAATAAGAACATAAAACCAAGATGAGTTTTGCTGCTGCTCTGGCTAGAAGAGTGGATAATAGGTAATGAAAACAAGCTAACCATTTTTCAGAACCAGAGGGAGAGATCTCAACATCTCTCGAGACAATGTCAACTATAGGAAAGCCAGTAAAACATGCTCTGCATGAGCTAAAAACCACAACAGACACACCCATTCATCTGACCCAAATTATCACCCCCGCCATCTGTGTAGTGACAAAACAGTCACTACAAGTAAATCCGCTGGTGTCAAACAACCAGAGACCAGTGCAATGGGAGGGCGCTGACACGGAACCCAGTTCCAGTTGTGCCCACGCACTGCTACGGCTCTGTGTGCAACCAGCTGCGCTGAAGAAAGCTCTGCAACACAGATATCGCCGTTGGTTTTTCAATACCTCATTATCCAAGCCCTTTGCCTCTCCCACAAGCCCTTAGCTTTTTTTATTGATCTCCAACATGCCTACAAGACTTGAACAAGGGCACGGGGAGAAATGAAGGTGAAACTAGATTGCTTCACTCCTTGCTTCACTCGGCAAGCGGCTCCCGGCTCAGCGAGGGAGGAGCGCAGCACTGAAGTGGCAACGGCACTGGAGAGGAGGGCAGTTTTCTGACCCCAGGCTTCGCCACTGATTAGCTCTGGGACTTCGGCAATCTGCTCGATTCTTCTCAGCCTGTGTTTCTCAGCGCTGAACTACGGGACTTGGATTAGATCATTTTTAACATCCTTTCCAGCTCTAAAATTCCAGGGTGCCATCAGGTTTTAACTGTTAAAGGAAAAGTAATTGAGAAGACGGGTGGTTGGTTTGGTTGTTTTTACCTTAAGTTGTATGTGAGTTTAATTATGCAAGCTCTCCCTGGGCTACCACTGTAACTGCAGATCAAAAAGGTGACTGAACTAGCCAGGGGCTCTGAGGACCGACAGTGCAGTTCTCTAGAGAAGAGATGAAAAACTAGAGGCTGGCAGGAGGAAGGAAGAAAACCTGCTTCAAAACTGGAGCAGCTGGCCCCACTGACAGTTAAAGGACTTCTAAGTTAATCGGATTTTCTTTTGTAATTAATATAACAGCATCTGCATATGGGCTTCCAGAAGGTAACAGCAGGGCTTCTCAGCTGGAGCATAGTAACCCTGCCAACTCTGGCTGCAGGAAAAGTCAATTCAAGTTGTCTGAAGTGCAAACCAAGGCTTTTTTTTCCCTCTCTTGATGGTTCTTAAATACAGATTATCTTGATTGCAATTAAAGCTGACCCTTGAACAACGTCAGGATTAGGGACTCCAACAACCTGCACAGTAGAAAATTCCTGTAAAATTAGTCAGCCCTCGGTATGCACGGATTCCCACCTGCCAGTTAACCCCTGAACAACATGGGTCCAAAATGTCAGGTCAAATGACCCACGCAGTTCCACTGAAAAATATTTCATATAAGTGGACCCATGCAGTTCAAACACACGTTGTCCAAGGGTCAACTGTACTTCTGAACAGAGGTTTCAAACTAGAAGGAGAAGAGCAACTGAAGTAGTAATCCATTTTGTTTATTTGTTTTAGATAATGAAGGGGAGCAAAATATACTACACCAAAATACACATCTGGCATGTTGATTATTTTAAGCTGGTTATTTTTAATAAACGGCAGACACAAGTGAAGCTCTGAAACCTGAGCAGAAGTTACCCTTTAGTAAGAAACATTTATGAGGGAAATTGCCCTTTGTAAGGGTGTCTCCTTCTCAGTACCAGGAAAAAGATGACTCTAAATCTTTAGAAACTCTTTATCAATGCAGAAATGAAAGACTTAAATCTGCATAACAATCTAACCCTGGTTTACTGTGCTTTTCCTGGTAATCTCCCATAACTAACCCCCCAACAACATCTGTCTTTAACCGGAGATGATATTTAAAGGAATACCTTAGGCCATTTCAGAGTTACTCAGTTTTCCTGGGTATCTCCCATGTATACAGAAGGTACGCGTACTATTAAATTTCTGTTCATTTTTCTCCTGGTAATGTCTTTTTATTATGGGAATGGGGAGGGAAGTCTCAGCCAAGAACCTATAAGGGTAGGAAAAAAATTATTTTTCCTCCCCGCAATATTTACTGTGCCCTTTCTAAGTACATCACCTTATTTGTCCCATGCCATCTAATATTCACAGTTCTACCAGAGAATGACTATTATTATCCCCATTTATAGATAATAGTAGGAATTTATTAGAAATGGTATCTCAAAAAAAAAAAAAAAGCGCCCATGTTTCTCCCTGTATCTAAGCAAATAAAAGGTGGCGTACAGGGCAGTACGGGAGCTATACCTAGATCTCAGGGGCAGGCAGCATAGGGGAGGAAAACTTTTCCTTCCACCCTTCTAGATTCGCTGGCTAGTCTAACAAATCAACATAGGACAGACTAACAAGGCTAACTGCATATGAGTACCGGGGTCCCATAAGAATATAAGACTCACAGGCAGTCGGGCAATTGAGATTTATATGGTTTACAAGGGCTTAGTTTCTGTCACGTGGAAGGCAGCATCTTACAATGAAACCATTAGGAGTGATCTAATGATGGGAATGTGTCAAAAGGACACAGGAACCAGCTCAGATGGGGACTCACTGACCGAAACAAGAATGCAAGCTTAAAAAAAGTAATGATACATTTTTAATGATAATAGATTATAATCCACTGAAAAAATTCTCAAGTACACACTGATATAGATAAACAAACAAACAAACAAACAAGAAACCACAAAGGAAAAGGAGAGCTCTTCTTTAACACAGAATGTCAACTAAGAAACACAGAAGGAGGCCCTGACCAGGCAGAGCTCAGTTGGTTAGAGCTCTGATACACTGATTGTGGGTTCAATCTCCAGTCAGGACACATACAAGAAGCAACCAATGAATGCATGAATAAGTGGAACAAAATTGATGTTTCT